GATGTTCCCACAGCAAAGTTCCCCAAAAAAGTTTTGAAAATGACATGAGTAAGAGAAAATACAGTTTCAAGCTTCAGGTTTTATTTTTTGCTTTTGGACTCACTGTAATGCCAAAATGCTTAAAGAGATTTAATCATTCCTGACACCTGACAGTGTAACAGAACATCTTGACTCAGGATTACATTTCTCTGCATGAAATGAATGTAAATGATATTCATATTGAAACATGAAATACTGCAGTAATCTCACAGAGGAGGTGCTGTTGGTTGGTGTCAAGAAGGAAGAGTTGGCTATCATAGTGTGAGAGGGACGGTACATCCTGGACAGCCTGCAAGTTGGTTGCAGGCGTAAAACAAGGAGACAGAAAACCATTCACTGTAAAATCTAAAATCATCAATTAAGCAAACAAGTGTGTCGGTAAACTATGAGAGAAAACCTTGGCCAACAAGGAACTTTAAACCCAGAACCTTCTTTCAGTAAGTAAATGGTTCTCACCACACACTATTCTGATCTCACACCAAACTCTCCATTTCTTGTTTCTGACAGATGTGAAAAGTTAATTGAACGCTGCCCCCTAATGGTGAAAATCTAGCTCTGATTACAGCAAAAACTCCCATTGAGGTCTAACAAAATGATCATGACTGGTTGGAGCCCAGGGAAAGAAGGTAGGACAAAAGATGCACTGTGGAAGACAGCCAGAGATTAGTAGCATTTCTTTTTCTTAAGAATGGGTTTGATCCAAGAAAGGAATTTTGATATGTCTGTATAAACGTTGGGACATTCGGATAGTCACAGATGTTGTAGTTGTTAAAGGAAACGACACCAACTGCCAAATTGTCACACACCAGAGGCCACCAGAGTCACCCTGTGAGGAGAAATATTATTATTTGATTTGCCCATCAATCATCAATCTTTTTTTAATATCATAGGTTGTAGATAGAAAAAAAGTTACCTGACAGATTCCTTTGTTTTTAAAGTATCCACCTGCACAAATAACTTTAGCCGGAAGCATATTCTGCCAAACACTCTGACACCTGTCCTTGTTAATGATGGGGACATCCACCACTTGCAGCTCGTCAACACTTTCACCGTTACTTTTTATGGCCCCCCATCCAGCTACACTGCAGGTTTTGTTTCCTTTAGATTAATTTTGGATGTGGAAGTTTAATTGGCTTAATAACTTTGTTTCCTTCCAGGCGAGCTTTCCTGGACAGCTAGTGGCAGAAAATAAGGAATGAGATAGAAAAAGAATACTTAAGGCAAATTAATAGGGTTTAAATCCAAACCATAACAGAGTGTCCACATGTGTAGCTGGTCAGTTGAATAACCAATATGTACTACAATACATAATCATCACTAACATTTAGTATACCTATTAATGTGCAACACATTGTTAAACTAAATAAAACATGTTTGTTTTGTATCACATATAATGCAAAAGGCAAGCAATAAGGAACTTTCTTTCTTTCATGTGCTTTCCCATGAGTAATACATCCAGGGCCAGTTACTTAAAATAAACTACAGTATTGTGTAAAAGTGTTGAGGCACCACTTATTTCTTTATAGTTTGCTTCCAAGGAGCCAGGCTTCACACATGGCTTGCTGAAATGCATAAAATTCATTTCATATCCAGTTCTTATACCTCACCATTTTCAGAACATTTCAGGTTTTTAGAGTTCTTTTTGAACAGTGACGAGGATAATGCAGTTTGACAGGCATAAAATGGTATTTGTGCACCAACATGGTGACTGTCAAACAGCTACTAGCCAACACTTGGCTAAAACAAAAACAAAATCTATCTATATAGCATCAACATAACAACATAACATATGCAGCAAAAACCTGATACAGGACCTAAGAGATGCATGTCTATGAGATTCAGGAGTTATCTACTTACTTTGAGAAGCATGATATCATTTCCAGATAGAACATCCTTAAAAGAATGTTTGCACATCTTCACATCATATCTCATTGTGTCATCAACCTTTTTGAGATTGTGAGTGCCCAGAACAACACTTGTAGGATTCCTACATTAATGATAATACAGAAATTGAACGTTTATGTTTTGATGAATTTGAGGTTGCATGAAGAGTTTTGATTACTTACTTGGGAGCACAGTGCGCTGCAGTCATTACAAAATATTCACTGACAAGGAAACCTCCACATATATGTCCATTGTTGTCTTGCACTGATGCCATATACATCATCTGCTTTTTCTCAGCCTTTCTACCTTTTATGATTTGACTCCCCAGTGCTGAAAGCAAATGTGCAAAATTTAAAAGCAACACACTTTTGCACATCTGTAAGAAATGGATAAAATCTTACCATTATGTCTAAGAAGCGTCAAAGTTTGAAAGAGCAGAAACCCTCGCAGAGCGTGCATGATGCATGGAAGTCGGGTGAAAAATCTTTCAGGGAGATAGTCGACCACTTTATGCTTTACCTTGCACTCTGTCTGTGGTTTGTGGTTTTTGGGGTTGTTTTCACTTCCTGTCTTCTCAACGTTCATTTCATATCTTCACAGAACATTTGAATCACTCTTTATGCTCTTAGAACTGAAAAAGCTTTTGGATGAGAGGTGAAACGTCTTCAAGAAACTGGAAGTCCAGACGCTTTTCTTTCCGAGCTCCAGCTTAATTAACAGAGTGATGTAAACTAAATGCTATCACGTGTACATGGAGATATATGTATACAATCAACACACACAGAAGTACTTTGTGCAGGATCCCTGATACATCTAACTCACAAAATATAATTAAAAGCACTGTTTTGTTGGAGCGCACATGCAGAAGCTCCATGATCATTTCTAACAGGCTGAAAAACAGGAATGCAGGAATCAAGATATCCAGAAGAGCAGTACGGTTAGCAAACATGGCAGTTTTTGTAGTTGTGTAATGACCTATTTTCATGGTCCTATTTGTATTATGCACATGTATATTGATGTTTGTGCAAAGCAGGCCAAACCAGATCGTCACACAACCACAACATATTTTACTTTCTGTATTATTTTTCTTTTTTGAAATGCTGTTTTATGCCAGAGAGTAATGGTGCACACACCTTCCAAAAAGTTAAACTTTTGTCTCATTATTCCACAAAGTATTTGTCCAGTCTTTCAAGTCTTGGGGATCATCAAGATATGTTTTAGCAAATGCCTCTTTGGTCAGCAATGGTTTTCTCCTGAACTGTCCATGGATGCCATTTTTGCCCAGTCTTTTTATTGTTTAATCATGAACTGAGCATGACTGAGACACGTGAAGCCTGAGGTTCTTTAATGTTGTTCTGGGTACTTTTGTGACCTGGATAATTCATGGATGTGCGCTTGGAGTAATTTTGGTAGGCCGGTCACAGAGTTATCAGTGACTTTGTTTCTCAAGTGTTTCTTTAGATTGCTGTATGAAGTGTTGTTTATTGAGTTCTTTAGCCTGCTTTGATTTGTCACATGGGTTCTATTGAACTGAGTTCTTGATTTACCCAGTCTGCCAGTAATTGGGCCTGAGTGTGTTTAGTGAAACTAAACTAAAAAATGTGGTTAATCACAGTTAATTTATTTTTAACAAAAGGGGCATTTTCATTTTCACACAGGACCAGGTAGATTTGGATAACAATTCTTCTTTATTTAATAAAATAATCATTTACAAAGAGCATTTTATGTTTAGTCTGGTTATTCATTCATTCATTCATTCATTTATCTTCTTCCGCTTATCTGGGGCCGGGTTGCGGGGGCAGCGGCCTTAGCAGAGAAGCCCACCTCCTCCAGCTTGTCCAGGGAACACCAAGGCCTTCCCAGATGTTCTAAGGCCAGCCGAGAGATATAATCTCTGGTCCTGGGTGTCCTGGGTCTGCCCTGGGGCTTACTATCATTGTATATAATTCACAGAACTGCATTCGGAGTCGGCGTTTGAGTCCTGCCTGCTCTCGGAGTATGACAACCACCCAGTGATCCAAAACTGGACCATCCATATCTATAAACATTCTAAAAGCATGTGGATGTACAAATTACCACAGTACAAAATTAGATTACAACAATGCTCTATACATTCTTTTAATCAACTTGGTGATGTACAGTTAGAGCACTGTTGTGAACAAATTTTAAAAAACACATTACTCCTTCAGCAAAATTACATCCTTAAGATGCAGTCGGTACTTTTTCTGAACTATTTTAGTGATATGCATAAGAGATTAAATGACTGCCAGATTTGATTACTATGTGAGCCGTGATGCATTTATTTCTCATATCACCATGACAAGCAGAAATAGTAGTTCCTACCAATCATTTAGACAATCTCAATAATATAGCTAATTTCCACTGTTTACCTGTCAATCATAAACTTCTAATTTACCACAAATTATTTTAATATCAATATTTTAATATGAGAATTGATTCTAGAACGTATTTTATATAGGAAAAATTGGTTATCAATCTGTACACCACTAGATGGCATCAATACTAATAACATTTTGACCTTATCTACCCATCACTAGCATTGCAGATTACAGTTTGTTTACATGAGTGTCTCTTTTACGGTTATTGCTGTTGCTCACTCAGCAGTCATGTACACATTGAATATTCGTTAGTATTTAGTTTGTTTCTCATTAGCTGCCAAATATATTGCAAAAATAATGCTTTCACTATTGATTATTTGACATCTCACTCTCACTCTGTGAAATAGTTCCAGTCAGTGTAGCAGTGTAGATGTACTTTCACTACTGTGGTGACACATACTGGTCTCTAAAAGATGTCACTTTAATCTTATGGAAAAACAGCAACATCTTGAAATGGTAATGGTGATAACCTTAATACTACTATATGTTGCTTATTCTTCATGTGACACCAAATTATTTTCTGGACTCCCTTGTTATTGTTTTAATGAAATATTTCCCTTCTGATATTGTTACTAATAAAACCATGGTTTTATTAGTAACAATATCAGTCACGGTCTGCAGACCGTGGACTAGCAGATACAATTTTATTTCTGTTTTTGGTCACACAAAGAAAATGACAGCAAAATGAAGCAATACAGCAGAAAAACAATTGTAGTTTTACAAATAACTATTTGGGTTTTTAAGAATTGCATTGATCCACAGGAGGTATTTTGAGATGTCTGTATAAACATTGGGTGCTTTAGGGTAGTTACACTTGCCTTTGTTAAAAGAAACAATACCAACAGCTAATCCTGCGCACACCAGAGGACCACCTGAATCACCCTGTGAAAAGAAAGAATTTTAACGTGTTTATACATTTGACAACGAGAGACCAGTTATTAATTTCAGTGAAAGGAAGAAGAAGAAAACATACCTGGCAGAATCCCTTGTGTGTGGGGTAGCCACCTGCACAGATAACGTTGGCGGGAAGACGTATATTTATGACAGAATATTGCTTCTTACAGACTTTCTTGTTAATGACAGGCACATCCACCACCCTCAGTATATTGGTTAGAGTACCATTTTCCATTATTCCCCATCCAGCCACTTTGCACACTTCATTTTCTTTTAGGTTTATTTTAGCAGTTGGAAGTCGAATTATTTTTACTATGTCGCTTAGCTGAGCTTTTCTAGAAAGCTGAAGAGATATATAATCAAATCACAAAGTTAACATTCAAAATTCTTATGCTGTAATGTAACGTAGATAATTAGATCACTCAACTATGTCACTTCAAACTGTTGTACTTACTTTAAGCAGCATGATGTCGTCACCCAGTAAAACATTTAGATAGAATCTAGGCTTGAATTTTTATTGATACTTATTTTTTGGCCTTTGTTGAGATTGTGGTTACCGAGAACAACGTGCGTGGGGTATCTGAAGCAAAGATTATTGAGAGGCACTCAATACATTTCCTAAACCTGTTAAATGACACGAAGACTGATACTTACTCATTATCACAGTGTGCAGCAGTGACAACAAAGTCTTCGGTGATCAGAAATCCTCCACATATATGACCACTTTTGTTTTGCACTGAGACCATATACAACATTGACTTCCTTGGGACTTTCTCCCCACCAATGATGTCACTTCCACGTGCTTCAAAGAAAAAAAAACATGCTAATGCCCATATGAAATGTTTGGAGAATAATGACTAAAAACTGCAATTCTTACCAGCTTGTTTGAGACATGTCAAAACATTGAGTAGCAGAATTATTTGCAGACCGTGCATGATGCCAGGAAAACGGTTCACTTCATTGTAGGCGTGTCAAGCTGACACATTTATAGTGCTTCTAACCACATCCTTTATTCAAGATAATTCTGAAAAGTTTGTTAATGCAAAGATAACTGATTTGCTATGTGAAACACATCGATTATGACATCGATTATGCTATGTGTATAAATTTATTTAAGTATGTTATACAAATTAATTAATTCATTTTTATCATTCCTAAATGTAAATTGTTGTGTTGTGTTTTAAATTGAATGGGTAATTGGGTGAAAGAATTTAATTAATATGCCAGGATCATGGCAGGGCTGAAGCCACAAAATAAACTAACAAACATATGAAATAAACATAAAAACTGCAAACAAAGACCCCAACCGACCAGGAAGTTTGAACCCAGAACCTGGTTTCAGTAAGGAAACAGCTCTCATTGTGGAGCAAACACTGATAACTAAAGACATATGCATTATATTTAACTTTATTTTAAATTGGGTTTTGGATGTTATAAATAATCAAATGAATTTACATTGTAAACTGAAAAGAAAAACAATACAGTTTTGATGTAAGAGATGTAAGATGAGTAATTAGATACAGAAAAAGAGTAACAACTAATCAAACACTTTGTGCATCACCTTGCTGTCTGTGGTTTCATCAACACTTTTATCTGTTTCTCCGCTGAAAGTTTTCTTTCAGAGGATATCAAAGCACTTTTTTGTGGGTGTTGTTGTTTGCTTCTAGGGGTGTGAAAACCAGTTTCCAGTTTCACAGATGTTAAACAGTTTTCAAATGTAACTCAATATTTAAGTGTTTCTTACTTGACCCGCTTAGTCGATTAAAAAGTTAATTGCCACGAACACCCCTAATGTTATATAACAGACCACAGAAAAGAGACAGGTTTTGTTCTACGTGACAGAGCTATAATAAATGTTTGTTTTTTTTAATTATCCTACTTTTTCTAAAAGGGAACATTATTTAAAGAATATGTATTTAATTAAAAACTCTGTATTCATCTAAAGGGTATAACAAGAAGGGTGAGCTTCCTGCTCGAAAAGGAAATGACCAAAATAAATGTATTTCTCTGCAATTACAAACTCTGTGTAAACAGTCTTGGTGTCAAAATAAAGCTAACACTGGTGAGATGTCATCAGAGCTTTAAATATTACTGCAGATGTTACTATGTCAAAGTTACTGTGACTCAAACATAGAAAAAATGATTTTTTATTTCCCTCACCTAATTTTTAAAAGTATTTTATAGCATATAACACGTTTGAAAATATGTTTCGGTTCACATTTAACTCCAGAAAATCATAAATCAAAATATGGATATTAGCTGTCCACAGATTCATGGTGACGTAACTGCTCTTTTAACTGTCTGGTGTCTTTGCTTTGTTTGGTGTTTGTAGACATGGTTTACATGAGCTTTTAGCTGAGATTCAGAGGTTTCTGTGGACACTACTCATGTCAGCACTTATATTTCTGACCTCGTGTTATAATCGATTAAACGTGGTCTCCTCCCTTTTGCCCCCATTTTTGATGTTGTGGGTGCAAATGATCAGGCATGACATTCTCATAATAAATCAGATAAAATACTGCAAAGAATTAATCCTGCGTTTGTGTGATTGAAATGTGTGTGCAGTGACACTGTTTTAAAGATTTGGCCTAAATAATTCTGGAGTGAATGAGCCTAAACATGATGACCGGACTAGTGACACCATATCACCTGTGACACTCACACACACACACACACACACACACACACACACACACACACACACACACACACACACACACACACACGTATGACTTTGCCAGTTTCAGCTGAAACAATTTCAGTGTTTCAAACCATGTTCCAGAGTTTTTAGTTCACCGTTCATGAGGTTTCAAGAAGAAAATGAAAGACAGATCTGAATGTTTGAAAGTGTTTTGGAAAAACTCTGTAAAGATTAGATGAACAATACTCAAAGGATAAATTCAACTGTTTTATTTTGTTAGATAAGTTGAAAAAAAGTTAAACAAGGAAGTAAATAAAGAAACAAGGTAAAACGAAGTAAGAGCAAAAAGTTAACAAGTAAATAACGAAACAAGGTTAAATGAGGTAAGTTCAAAAAGTTAACAAGTAAATAACGAAACAAGGTTAAATGAGGTAAGAGCAAAAAGTTAACAAGTAAATAAAGAAAGAAGGTAGAGGAGAGAAAACCCCAACAATCCCCTCTGAGCAAGCACTAGGCGACAGTGGGGAGGAAAAACTGCCTTAAAACGGGCAGAAACCTCCGGCAGAACCAGGCTCAGGAGGGGCAGTCAACTGCCGGGACTGGTTGGGGGTGAACAGAGGTGGAGCAAGACGAGGCTACATCAGTTGAAGAAGCAGTATTGTCCCTCTACCGGAAAAAGCTGAAGAATCTTTTCTTCTTTTTCATGGACTTTTCCACGAGCGCCTTTTTGTCCAGGATGAGGGTTCTCAACTCATCGATGGTTTCTGTGTTTTGCCTCTCAAGTTTCTTGCATGTTTGTTCCACCTGTTCTAATGTTGCTTGTGTTTCTTCAAGCTTTTCTTTGAGGTCTTTGGATGTTGCCTCCTGTGTCAGCTTTGCCTTCTGCAGGTCTGCATTTCTCACTTGATCTTCTTTGTGCAGGCCTTCTAGCTGCTCATTTCTTTTCTGGATGTCGCGGAGCGTACACTGCAGGTCTTCATGCGTTTTGTCTTGTTTTTGCTTTTGGGCCTGCATTTCTGTGTTTTCCCGCTTCAAGTTGTTGAATTCCAACAATATCCCCTTAATGAGCTCCGAGTTGTTTTTCGCCATGTGATCAATCTTTTCTGCATGTGTGAGCATCGTTTTGCCAGTGTTTCCTTTTCTCCCTCCAGCTCACTTGTTTTGACCTTCAGTTCATTACAGACTTCTTGCATTTTTTGATTTTTACTCTCAAAGTCCTTGATAATGCACTTTTCTTCTGTCAGTCTTTCTTGCTTTTGCTCTTTCTCTTGAAGGAGGTCTTTATTTTGGACCAGTGTTTGATCCAACTTTGCCTTCACCATTCTGTACTTTTCCTGCATGCCTTGGAGTTCGCGCTGCAGGTCTTTTTGCTTTGTGTCCTGTTGTTCCTTCTGTTGGAGGACTTCTTTATTTTTTTCTTCAGCTTCATCAAGCTTTCTTTGGAGCAGGTGATTGATTTGGTCCATGTATTGCAGATCCCACTCTATTTTATCAATCGTCGCTTTCCTGCCTTGAAGCTGCTCGGACATTTCTTTAACTTCAGCGCTCTTTTTCTTGTTTTCTTTGATGAGGAATACAATCTGCTCTCTGGCTTGAGCAAACTTGATCCCCCAGCCCTCATTAATAATGTTGATGTCGGGCTGGCGCTGTAGTGTTTCTTCCAGGTGTTTGTTTTGTGCTTCCATTTGTAAGCACTTCTTCTCCAGGTGACGTTTTTCTTCTTCAATTTGTCGAATTTTGTTCTGGAGATGGTTGTTTTCATTCCTACTCTCCTGTAATGCCCTTTGGATGGATAAGAGGCCATTTGGAGAAATTGGCCGGCCACGCGTGGAAGGAGAGGCGGCGAAATCTTTTTGTCTTGGTTGCCGTAATCTTGGATACATGTTGGCGTTTGTATCCAATGACTCTGAGAGGTTTCCAATTTTTTCTGTAGTGAACGTTTGAAGGCTGCAAACACAAAGGCTGCGACGAAACGAACTGAAAATTGCTGTTTCTCACCCCTATTTATAGAAAAACTTCAAAGGATCCTTGTGACATCCTTGTGACATCCTTGTGACATCATCACTCCTAAGCCAATCAGATTGTCACATGACATTTTGGAATGTGGAATGGGGATATGTTTTTTTTTAAACAGTTTTCAAATGTAACTCAATATTTAAGTGTTTCTTACTTGACCCGCTTAGTCGATTAAAAAGTTAATTGCCACGAACACCCCTAATGTTATATAACAGACCACAGAAAAGAGACAGGTTTTTTTTCTACGTGACAGAGCTATAATAAATGTTTTGTTTTTTTTAATTATCCTACTTTTTCTAAAAGGGAACATTATTTAAAGAATATGTATTTAATTAAAAACTCTGTATTCATCTAAAGGGTATAACAAGAAGGGTGAGCTTCCTGCTCGAAAAGGAAATGACCAAAATAAATGTATTTCTCTGCAATTACAAACTCTGTGTAAACAGTCTTGGTGTCAAAATAAAGCTAACACTGGTGAGATGTCATCAGAGCTTTAAATATTACTGCAGATGTTACTATGTCAAAGTTACTGTGACTCAAACATAGAAAAAATGATTTTTTATTTCCCTCACCTAATTTTTTAAAGTATTTTATAGCATATAACACGTTTGAAAATATGTTTCGGTTCACATTTAACTCCAGAAAATCATAAATCAAAATATGGATATTAGCTGTCCACAGATTCATGGTGACGTAACTGCTCTTTTAACTGTCTGGTGTCTTTGCTTTGTTTGGTGTTTGTAGACATGGTTTACATGAGCTTTTAGCTGAGATTCAGAGGTTTCTGTGGACACTACTCATGTCAGCACTTATATTTCTGACCTCGTGTTATAATCGATTAAACGTGGTCTCCTCCCTTTTGCCCCCATTTTTGATGTTGTGGGTGCAAATGATCAGGCATGACATTCTCATAATAAATCAGATAAAATACTGCAAAGAATTAATCCTGCGTTTGTGTGATTGAAATGTGTGTGCAGTGACACTGTTTTAAAGATTTGGCCTAAATAATTCTGGAGTGAATGAGCCTAAACATGATGACCGGACTAGTGACACCATATCACCTGTGACACTCACACACACACACACACACACACACACACACACACGTATGACTTTGCCAGTTTCAGCTGAAACAATTTCAGTGTTTCAAACCATGTTCCAGAGTTTTTAGTTCACCGTTCATGAGGTTTCAAGAAGAAAATGAAAGACAGATCTGAATGTTTGAAAGTGTTTTGGAAAAACTCTGTAAAGATTAGATGAACAATACTCAAAGGATAAAT